GGGGGCAATTGGAAGGGAGGCCAAATATGATTGGAGGTTGAATGTGAGTGTGCATAAAAGGAAAAAAAAAAAGAAAAAAAACAAACAAAAAATACCACACACACACACACACACACACACACACACACACACACACACACACACACACACACACACACACACACGAAAGAAGGACCTAGTCTCATAGGTCTGTGAGGTTGGGTATAGCCAGGTGTGGCGGGATGGGTCCACTGAAAGCATTGTATTCGAGCGATCTGGATAGACAGGCCGGACATGTGAACCACGAGTCTATTAGAGTCAGATACCACCCCTCTGCCTAATCTCTCGCCTCATTTGCCCCACTTGTCCTCTCTTTACAATCACGGAACGCACGTGCCAGCATTTTAGAGAGAGGATGAGTGGGCCAAATGAGGGGAGAGATCAGGCAGAGGGGTTCAAATAGACACAGAGAGGAAGGTATGTGTGGAGGAAGGCAAATGACAGGCATGCTTAGGATGCTAATGACGAAGGCACCACATACTGAAGGAGCGGACCTCAAAGCAGTAAGACAAACGACGGGAGGGTTATAGAGCCAAAAACAATGGTCAGCAGGGGTGCATGAAAGGAAAAGAACGGCAGGAAGGAATCACAAGTATGCAGAGCAAGACAAGGGTGGTGTCGGGGCTTGGATAGGGATGGCAGGGCAGGAGGCAAAGAGAAGAGTGCCATACATTGCCTGGATGTTGCTGGTAAAAACCGGGGGTATAGACCCAGAAAGAGAATTCCACGACAGGTCTCTGCAGGGGAGGGGGGAGGAATGGACAATGAACAGCGGATGCACTGCACTGAGGGCCGGCCTGCCGGGTGCCGGACGGTGTGTGGTTCCAACTGAGCCACAGCCCAAGCTCCAATGGCTGGATTGGGCCAAAAATTGGCCTTAATTGGGCCCAAAAAGTGATTTGTGCTTTCCTATGCCCGTTGCTTTCGGCATTAAGATTGTTCACAGAGAGTGGAGATGTTTTGTCATGCTGGCACTTTTGAGGCGCCTCAAAAGCTTTCATACAGCCACTGCTTTCAGAGAGTGGAGATGTTTTGTCATGCTGGCACTAGCCCCGCCCTTAGCCAAGGAGGTCGGTGCGAGCCTGCCCAAGGGTAGCTGGCCCTCGTGCGGCCATGCCCATCTCATGCATGCTTGTGCAGCCATGCTTATCTCATGCTAATCCTATGCTTATCCCATGCATGCCCAGGGCACACCAACGGATTGTGTACTTAAGAGAGGAATGGACCCAAGGGATCTAGACAGAGGCAGAGTCGGGCTGAGACAGTGGGAAGCCGGGGGAGGAACCTTACATGAAGGTGAGGGCTGTTAGGGCTGAAAACGATGTCGGGATTGATCCTTGGATGTGGTTCAGACCTAAATTGGTGGGAAAAAAAGGGGGAGAACGAAACACGGCACGTGTGCGAAATTTGCGACACAAGCAGGGCAAATGTTGTTGGGTGTGAGAAGATAGGCATTGGCACGGTGCAGTGGCAATGGCGTTGAGGCTGATGGCAGCAGCATGGCTGGCAGGGCAGGAAGAATGGTAAGGAAAGGAGGCTAGAGAGTGTCATCATGAGCAGAACGGTGTATGGAAGGAAGGACGGCATGGAAGGAAGGACGGCATGGAAGGAAGGACGGCATGGAAGGAAGGACGGCATGGAAGGAAGGACGGCATGGAAGGAAGGACGGCATGGAAGGAAGGACGGCAGCACAAGCAGTAACTCACAGGTCCGCCAAATTGACCGGCGAGGACCAGCTCTCAGGCAGGGAGCCCTGCAAGTTGTTTCCAGTAATAAATCTGCACATTATGGGAGCACGGGAGCACGCATCACATGAACGCCTGAGTTCCTGACTGGTGGAGGTCAAAAGAGTAACTTGTGGAGGATTTATTATTGTTTTCCTTGCCGTAGCAAGAGTCAAGAATGCAGCAAGGGAAAACATTGACATGGTGTGGGGGTGAGGGCTTATTGCGACAAAAAGGGTGAAAAAAAAAAAGTCAGATCGTGACAAACAAAAACAACTTGACTTGGGTGGTCGGCTGACTTGGTGACGCCGACTTTGGGTAGCCGACTTGGGTGGTCGGCTGACAACTGCACTGGTCGACCAGGAGTGACGTCAACCTGGAGCTGGTCGACCAGAGGAGTGGTCGACCTGGTGAGGTCGACTTGGTGTGGTCGTCGACTTGGGAGGTCGACGAGCACATACAGGAGTAGCTGGTCGACATGGTTGCCCAGTCGACCAGGATACCTGGGTGATGAGGTTCTGCGAAGGAGTGCGACGGTCGCCCATGCAACGTTGGCGAGTCCGACCTCGGTGGTGGTATCCCAAGGTCGACGTGGCGGATCAGGTGGAGCCGTCAGCACGAAGATGACTTGGTGCGTGCGCTGTTCAGGTGACAAGGCCTAGCCCTCCAATCATCAACGAGCACCTGCGAAGTAGGTGCGCTGCTGTTCTATGGGAGCAACGCTGGCACGCCGTCAACCTGCAGCGTTGGCACGTTGTCGACTTTGCACTGCTGGAGCGCGGTCGACCAAGTCGTGCTGGAACACGGTCGACCATGCTGTGCTGGCAGTCGACCGACCTGAATGCTAGCTCTGATGTAGTCTTGCCATGCCAACTTGATTGTATCATTGTTGTCATGTTTTCCTAGTGAAACTCTTGCCAATTCTCCCCGTGAACTAGCAAGAAGCGTAAACACAAGGAAATGACTAAGTGAACGAACGCAGAGATCACACGAGCACACGTGCCTAGCCCGTAGTCTAGCTCCCGTTGCAGCAGTTATCTCCGCATGGTCATGTCTACACCAGATCAGAGTAACGTACACATCATGACGAGCATACATGCTTTGAGTTACCTCCAAGAGATTGCATGCTCGGTGCACTCTCCATTCAACAAGCGCGCTGAGCTCACAGGGCGGTGAGTGCTGTAAGCCCAGACATGTTGTCGTTGAGCAGTCCGTGGCGGCGTGGATCGTCATTATTCGCCGTCCTACACACACAAGAGGACCGTCTTGGCAACGGTACACAAGGCACAAGGGAAGGAGAGTCCTTGAGAGTCCTCTTGAGACATCTCAACAATTTATTCACCGTCCTGCACGCAAGGGAAGGAGAGATGTTGAGATTCTCTCCACTGCGACAAGACTCAGCCATAACAATGGCACATGCGGTGTGCGCTTACCCTGTGCCTTCTTGGGGGTGTGATGTGCGTGCAGCAATGGCACTGAACGAGAGTAAGGTGGGGCAAGACACGCTCACAGGTGCTCAAGGCTGGAGAGGTGGGTCAACCAATTAGGAAACTCCAAGGCACGAAGGTAGGATAGGTCCCTGGAGAGAGGGGGGCAAGAGGACACCGTGCAGGCGAAAAGCAGAGACATGCGGTCATGTCGTGGGGACAATGTTTCAACATGATGAGGTTTCATCATGTGCAATGTTTCTAGGAGAAGTTCCCCCATTGCACATGAACAGGGTTGCTTCATGTGTGTCATGCTTGGGACCTGTGTGTGTTGTTTAGGATCCGTCACTTTGAGAACTTACGACGAACTCATTACTCAACTAAACGCAAATCCGCTCAGTAGGATTGTGCGCCTTAGGCTTAGCTACCATCTCCAAGTTGAATCAGTTGTTAAAATGGTCTAGAGAGTGAGAACCATGTAAAAACGTCCAGCAGCTGCATGACTAGAATTGTGGAGGAAGTACAAAACATTAAGACATAGGAAGTTGGAGTTGGGAACCTTCAAGAGAACCATGAGAGGGAAGGGGTTCTCCAAGAGCTAGGGAAGGATGGTAGGAACCTTCCTAGCAGCAAGGATGCAACCCTCATCATGAGGTCCTTGAGGTGTCACATGCAAAATCCAATCTAGTTGGATTTTGCATAGGTGTTGCAACATTTGCAACCCATGCTAGAAACTTCTAGCCACCCCAATCCAAAAGTCAAAGTTGCCTTCCCTAACCACCCAACCAAAGATCCCTTTATAGTCATGTCCCAAGTAATCACCCAAGTTAGATATAACCCCAAAGGTAAATAAGAAATCCAAGTCTTGGAAATCTTGTAACTTGGGCGATTTTGGTCGGAATAAGGCGATCTTGGTATCGTTGGAAAGCTCTGGATTTCTCCAGCATGATCAAGCATTTAGACTTGGAGAAAAACACAGAGATGACAATATCCAACAGCCATGCATAATGACATATGCTCATGCAAATCATGCAAGCACAAATAGCACGAGCACTCGGCAGGACGTTAGGATGACATGCACTCAGAATGACGTGCATCCAACAGTGTGCAGCTTACAGTGCAGTGAGGGCAGTCAAGTATCTGATCTCTCCGGGTATCTCCCCTGTGGCGTCGGTGAATGAAATGAGTTTCCTGCGTTCATGCCCAGCATGCACAGGCAATCAGCAAGACTGAATGCACCACTGACGCGAATTGAAGCCTGGTTTAGGAACCATACTACAAGGCACAACACAACTGAAGGATGATTTGACATGAGATAGAGAATAGCAGCATAGCATAACGCGACCGCATTTTTTTTTGTGCAGTGCACTGCATTGATGCTTACAGATCTGGAAGGCTTCGCAATTGAGAAAGAATGTGGAGGGAGGACAAGTCCCCTATGAATTCTGCCAAGCCAATCAGACTCCTGGTGGCAGGAGGGCAGTATGGCATGCACGTATGCATGGGCAAAAGTTGGCGCAGTGGGCATGAGTTGGCGCAGTGGGCATGAGTTGGTGCAGTGGGCATGATTTGGTGCAGTGGGCATTAGTTGGCGCAGTAGGCATGAGTTGGCACAGTGGGCATGAGTTGGTGCATTGGGCATGAGTTGGCGTAGTGGGCATGAGTTGGTGCATTGGGCATGAGTTGCGAGCACAATGTGGCGTGCACCACGGCTAAAGGAAGGAATGAGTGGAAAGCCAACAGCATGCGCAATGACATGTCTTCCTGGACGAGCATGCGTGGCAGGGTGAGCATGCGTGGCAGGGCGAGCATGCGTGGCAGGCCAGGCATACAGCGTGTGCACGGCGGTGAGGGAGGAAAGCCAATCCAGTTCGACCAATGTGCCATTCAGCCTGCTGCCGTCCATTCCGATGGTCCTGTGGTCATGCGTGGCATGCAGGGAAGGGAGCATGCCGCGCATTCATTGGCCAATGGGGATGGGGAGGAGGAGAGGACACATGCCAGAGGTGCCAGATGCAGGGGCAGTAGGAATGATTAACCCTTAATCATGACACAGCGGGAGAGTACATCTAGGGACGGATGGTAATGATTGGTAGCGCAAGGAATCGGACTGGGAAAGTTGGAATGGGTTGAGGTTTTGGAGCGTGGATGGGATGGGAACAAGGATCAAGCTTCGAAGAGCAGGATGTGTGCACATGAGGGTGGTGAAATGGGCATGGTGGATGGGCATGGTGCACGGGCATGGTGCACGGGCATGGTGCACGGGCATGGTGCACGGGCATGGTGCACGGGCATGGTGCACGGGCATGGTGCACGGGCATGGTGCACGGGCATGGTGCACGGGCATGGTGCACGGGCATCGTGCACGGGCATCGTGGACGGGCATGGTGCACGGGCATGGTGCACGGGCATGGTGCACGGGCATGGTGGATGGGCATGGTGCACGGGCATGGTGCACGGGCATGGTGCACGGGCATGGTGCACGGGCATGGTGCACGGGCATGGTGCACGGGCATGGTGCACGAGCGTGGTGCACGAGCATGGTGGACGGGCATGGTGCACGGGCATGGTGCACGGGCATGGTGCACGGGCATGGTGGACGGGCATGGTGCACGGGCATGGTGCACGGGCATGGTGCACGGGCATGGTGCACGGGCATGGTGGACGGGCATGGTGCACGGGCATGGTGCACGGACATGGTGCACGGGCATGGTGCACGAGCATGGTGCATGGGCATGGTGGACGGGCATGGTGCACGGGCATGGTGCATGGGCATGGTGCACGGGCATGGTGGACGGGCATGGTGCACGGGCATGGTGCACGGGCATGGTGGACGGGCATGGTGGACGGGCATGGTGTACGGGCATGGTGGACGGGCATGGTGGAAGGGCATGGTGCATGGGCATGGTGGATGGGCGTTGTCCAACAGATAAGCAGCTGAGATCTGAAAGCACGGGAGAACAGCACGTACAGGTGGGTGAGGGCGGTGAGAGGGGTGCGTACAGGTGGTAGAGGGCGGTGAGAGGGGCGCGTACAGGTGGGTGAGGGCGGTGAGAGGGGGGCGTATAGGTGGGTGAGGGCGGTGAGAGGGGCGCGTACAGGTGGGTGAGGGCGGTGAGAGGGGCGCGTACAGGTGGGTGAGGGCGGTGAGAGGGGCGCGTACAAGTGGGTGAGGGCGGTGAGAGGGGCGCATACAGGTGGGTGAGGGCGGTGAGAGGGGCGAGAGATGGAATGGACTGCGGAGATAACTACTACAACGGGAGCTTAGAGTACTGGCTAGGCACGTGTGCTCGTGTGATGTCTGCGTTCGTTGGTCCTTAGACGTTTTCCTAGTGCTCACACTGCTTGCTAGTTCATGGGGCAATTTGGCAAGAGTTTCACTAGAGAACGTTGTCAATATTGGTACAATCAAGTTGGCATGGCAAGACTACATCAGAGCTAGCATTCAGGTTGGTCGACTGCCAGCACAGCATGGTCGACCGCGTTCCAGCACGACTTGGTCGACCGCGCTCCAGCAGTGCAAAGTCGACAGCTTGCCAACGCTGCAGGTTGACGGTGTGCCAGCATTGCTCACGCAGGACAGCAGTGCACCCGCTTTGCAGGTGCGCGCAGATGGTTGGCATGCAAAGTCTCGTCATCTGCACAGCGCACACACCAGGTCAACCTCGGGCTAGCGACTGCCTCTGATCCGCCACGACGACCTCGGGATACCACCATGGAGGTCGGTCTCGCCAACTTCGCCTGGGTGACCGTCGCACTCCTTCGCAGAACCTCGTCACCCAGGTATCCTGGTCGACCGGGCAACTATGTCGACCAGCTGCTCCTGTATGTGCTCGTCGACCTCCCAAGTCGACAACCACACCAAGTCGACCTCACCAGGTCGACCACTCCTCTGGTCGACCAGCGCAGTTGTCAGCCGACCACCCAAGTCGGCTACCCAAAGTCGGCGTCACCAGGTCGACGCCCCTTCTACGTCGGCGCCGACTTCCAGGCTGACCTCTCGAAGTCGGCGTCCTCCCAAATCGGCGCCGACTTGCAAGTCGGTGACCTTGCAAGTCGGCGACCTTGCAAGTCGGTGACCTTGCAAGTCGGTGACCTTGCAAGTCGGTGACCTTGCAAGTCGGTGCCCTTGCAAGTCGGTGACCTTGCAAGTCGGTGACCTTGCAAGTCGGTGACCTTGCAAGTCGGTGACCTTGCAAGTCGGTGACCTTGCAAGTCGGTGCCGACTTCCAGGTCGACGTGCCACATCGCCGACCACCAGTTGAAGTCGGCCGCCGGCTTCCCAAGTCGGCGGCATTGCAGTGGCGCCGTGCAAGTCGACCAACCCCGTCGACCAGCTCGTCCAAGTCGGCGACCCCACTGCTGCAAGTCGGCTGTACCTTCCGTACACCCCACCACAAAGTCGGCTCCACCCAAGCGTGGACGGGGCCAACATACAACTCCCGTTGACACTCCCCTGCCGCGTTCACGCTTGGCCCCCCCCAAGTCCACTCGGCAGTACTCCTCGGAGAATAGCTCGTCGACGTGCACCCAACACACAGCACGTCGTCCACCGCACCAGCCATGCAAGAGGGCATGGCACCTACTGCTGCACGTTGTCATCTTCGTCGCCCACGTCGGCCAAGCGCACCTGGCCGATGGCGACGGAGCACCGGTTGAAGGCCGGATAGTGCAGCGCCTTTGTCAGGAAGTCGGCCGGCTGCTCAGTGGTCGGGATGTACCTCAGCGAGAACTTCCCGCGCTTCACCATGTGCTGCAGCCAGGCCTGTCGCCGCTCCATGTGCTTGAGGTTGCCCGTCAACCCCATGCCCTCGACGACTGTGATGGCCGACTTGTTGTCCACCCGAAGGACGGTCGGCTTCCCGGCATCCAGCTGCCGGAACTCTGCAAGGAGGAAGCGAAGTCGGCGTCCTTCTTTGCCGGCTTCGGTGGCTGCCACGTACTCCGACTCAGTCGACGACAACGTCGCACACTTGATGCGCTGGCTCGACCAGGAGACTGCGGCCCCTCCATAGACGAACACGTAGCCACCCGTGCTCGTCCTGTTCTGCTTGTCACCGGCGTCGTCGGCGTCCACGTAGCCGACCAGCTCCAGCGACTCAGGTCCACCGCCGAACTCCAATGCGGTGTCGCGCGTATTGGCGAGGTAGGCGAGGCAGCGGTCGACCTCGCGCCAGTGCTGGTCGCTCCTCACCGTGAGGCCCCTCCCCAGCTTGCTGCAGGCGAAGGCGATGTCCGGCCTTGTCGTCGTCGCCGCGAATTGCAGCGAGCCAACCTTCTGCCGGTACTCCTCTTCCTGCCGCTCCTGTGCCTCCTCGTCATCGAACGTGAGCTCGGCGTAGGCATCGACCGAAACCGGCGTCTTCGGGGTGCGCCCGGTCTGCTCCTCGTCGATGAAGCGCCTACGAAGCTTGTCGGCGTAGCCCTGCTAGTGCAGCCACAGCTTCCCCGCCGACCTGTCGCGGACGATCTCCAGCCCGAGGTACTTCTGTACCGGCGAGATCTCACGCAGCTCGAAGGCGGCTTCCAGCAGCTCCTTCAGCTCCTTCAACATCGCGGCGCTACTGCTGGCGGCAAGTAGGTCGTCGACGTAGACCAGCACCCAGCAGGCCACTCCGTCCTTTCCGTCCTTGAAGTAGAGAGCCTCGTCGACCTGGCTCTTCTTCCACCCGGCGCCGACCAGCACGTCATTGAGCGCCAAGTACCATAGCAGCGGCGACTGCTTTAGCCCGTACAGGTTCTTCAGCAGCTTGCACACCCGGCCGGTCCCGTCGTTGAAGTAGTCCGGCTGGGACATGTAGAGCACCCTGTCGAGCTTGCTCTGCAAGAAGGCGTTCTTCATGTCGAGCTGCATCAGGTTGAGGTTGCGGACGGCGACGATGCTGAGGAAGATCCTCAGCGTGACGTAGCTGCCCACCGGCGCGAACGTCTCGTCGTAGTCGGCGCCGTACACCTGCGTGAAGCCCTTCACAACCAGCCTCGCCTTCTCGCGTTCGACGGTGTCGTCGACGTGGTACTTCGTCGTCAACACCCACCGGTTCTTCATGACATTCACTCCCGGCGGACGTTCGACCAACTCCCACGTTCCCATGTTGAGGAGGCTGCGAATCTCCTCCTCCATGGCGGCCTTCACCGCCGGGCCCTTCCAGCTCGCCAATGCGTCCTTCACCGTCATCGTCGAGATGTCCCAACGGTGCTCGGGGTCGGCTAGCATGTCGGGGTCGAGCTCTGGAAACTCCTCATCCTCCTCGGCATCGTCGTACAGCAGGTCGTCGGCCTCATCGTCCACGTCGTACACCGTGGTGAAGGCAGCGGGGACGAAGAAGTCAGGCGGCCTCCAAAGTCGGCCTGAACGCCGTGGTCCTGGCTGGACCTCCTCGGCGTCCCCTCCATCGTTGCTGTTGTCGCTGCCCTCGGCGTCCTGCTGCTCCTCAGCCGGCGTCCCAGCCGACTTCTCCCCTATGATCGGCTCCCCTGCCAACTGCCCGGTCGCCGACTGCTCCTTGGTCGGCGTCACTGCTGCCTGCTCCTTTGTCGGCCGCTGGTCCTCGACCTTCTTCTCAACCTGATCCTCCCCTGTCGGCGTCGACTGCAATCCCACGTCGACCTGCCGCTCGTCACGTCGGCCACCGGCGATGCACTTGGCCGAAGGCGACGTCCCACTACTCCCCTCATCGCCGGAGGCCGACACCAAGGTCAGCCCACGTAGGTCGGCCACGAGGGTAGGGGCAGGGGTCGGAGGGCGAGGGGTAGGGGGGCGGACGTCCTCGACGTCCGTAATAGCAAGCTCACCGACCTCGGCAAGCAGTGGCAGCGTCGCCGACGAGGTGTCAGAGGGCGGGGTGGGCGACGAGCGGCCGGACACCGACCCGTACTCCGTCTTCCACTCGGCCAGCGACAGCTCCTCGTAGAACACCACATCCGACGTGGTGACCACCCGGTCGGCGTCGACGTCGAGGAGCTCCCAGCCCTTGCTCGCCGCCGACACGCCAAGGTGCACGCCCCACCTGGCCTTCGGCTGCAGCTTCCCACCACGCTGCTGCTCAGGGACAAGGAACTGCGCCATGCAGCCCCACACCCGCGCCAGCGACAAGTCGGGTTTCTTCCCGGTCAGCAGCTGGTATGGCGTCGTCCCCGGTGGCAGCGTCGACCTCTCAAGACAGTTGTGGACCCAGACGGCCTGTCGCAGAGCGAGGTGCCACCAGTGGTGCTGCACGCCCATGTGCAGCAGCATTGTCCGCACTGACTCCACCACCGTCCTCATCTCCCGCTCCGCCATGCCGTTCTGCTGCGGGGTGTATGGGCAGGTCAGGTCGTGGACGATCCCCTTGTCGTTCACGAAGTCGGTGAACTGCTTCCCGAGGAACTCCCCTCCCCGGTCTGAGCGCAGCATCAACACCGACTTCTTCGTCTGCCTCTCAGCCACCGCCAGCCACTGCACGAACGCCGGCAACGCATCTGACTTCTTGGTGACCGGCTTCACCCACACGTAGCGGGTCTTGCGGTCCTTCAGCAACAAGAAGTACAGGCTGCCATCCTTGGCAGCCACGCGGAATGGCCCGCACAGGTCGATGTGCACGACGGCCAGCACATCGTCGGCGTCGGAGCCGTGGTCGGGGAAGGTGTGCCGCGCCAGCTTCCCACCGACGCACGAGACACAAGGTGAGTCAGCGCCCGTCGCCGACTTGAGGTCCAGCCCAATGGCGACCTCGTTCTTCGCCGAGCTCCGTATGGTGTCCATGCCGACATGTGCAAGCCGGGCATGCATACGGTCCGGCGTCGACTTCGTCTTCGAGGCGATCGCCCACAGAGCCACAACCTCCGTCTTGGGCGACGTCGACCTCGTTGGGCAGGGACGCAGGTCGGTGCAGAGGACACGCCCGGAGTACGTCGCCCGACCGAGCACCTCTCCCGTTGCCGAGACGAGCAGCAT